GGCGTTAATATTAATTATTAAGGTATCCTTATCTTTATCTTTCCTTTCTTAAGGGTATATATCTACTAGTCTCCTTTAGTTTAAGGGTAGTTACCTTATTTACTAAACCCTTTCTAGCTTAGCCGCTATTTATACTACCTAATTAGTATAGGCGGCGAAGCTTAATATAGGGAGGTCGACTATAGCTAACGCCTTATAGAGCCGGATTCCTAGAGCCCCTTTTAAGAAGACGATCTAAACGTTATATAGCTAGGACCTACCTTTAGCTTTTAAGAGTCTTTACTTAAACTTTAAGAAGAACGCTATAAACGTTTAACTCTCCCTTTATTTTATTATTTAGATCGCCGCTACCGCGCGTAACTAGATATTTACGTTAAGGTAGATTAAGTTAAGGTATTTTAGGAACTCCTTTTAATTATAGCCCCTCTCCGCTCTTATTCTATAGTATATAGCGACCGTTTATTATAGCCCGGCGTCTAAGTAGCTATAAATAAAGTAAAAGATTTCCCTTAAGCTTAAGAAGAATTTTTTATCGATCTTATACTTTTCCTATATATATTATTATCGCGAAGTATAGCCTGATTTCGTAGTTCTTAGAAATATCCCTTAGCACGAGGGACCTAGGAAGCTAAAAAATAGGTTTTAAGGAAGGAGCTAAAAGGAGGTATAGAGAGGAGGGTAGGGGTAAGAGGAGAAGTAGAAGTAGCGATAGCTTCCTATAGAGGTAGTAAAAGATAAGACGGATATACTAGAAACGGCTAGAAAAGAGGGGAAAAACTAGCAAAAAAGCTTAGTAGTTAAAAGGATATTAGTAGCTTCTTTAAGTAGGATCTTCTTTATTAATTAAGATGCTAGATAGGTATAAAGAGGGGCGTTAGATAGAGGAAAGATAGATAATTAAGGCAATATAATAATTAATCCCCTACCGTAATTACTACCCCTATAAGAATTAACTCTCTCTACCCTACCTATTTTAACGGGGACGAGGGCATATACCTAAAGCACGCGTAGCACGTAGCTAAGGATTAGCAGAGCAATTAACTACGTAATTATCTAATCATCGGTCCTATATATAGCTCTAAGGGCCTTAGGTTGTAAATGCGAGTCTTAGAGATTTTCTTTACTCTATACCTCTTCGTCTCTACTAGAGTCGCGCAAAAGGCGGCATCTGCTTTAAAGGGGAAAAATAAAATTTAAATTAACTATAATTAAGGAAGATGCCTAATTAGATAATCGAGGTCTTTATAACGCCTTTAAGTATACTTCGAAGTAAGTTAGAAGGGGAGTGCTAGGGGTCTTATCCCTCTAACGGGCTAATATCTATAGGGGTACGATCTTACCTATTAAACTAACTTCTTTAAAAGCGCGCTAGCTTATTATAAGTATAGTACGCTAAAGTAAATCGAGCCCTATACTAAACGCTATATAATAAGCCGCTTAAGGCCCTTACTAAGATAAGATAAAAGAGAGATAGGGCGCTAAGCGTAGGGTATAGATAGATCTCTATATCCTAGCTTAGCAATTATAATTACTTCTACTTCTTAAAAAGGTTTCGGATAGTAACTAATAGTAAGGTAGCCTTAATATAGCTAATAAATAAGACTACTAATTATATATTAAATAGCGCGAAGTATCTATACTATAATATTATCTAAGCTTAGAGATATATTCCTAGTATATAAAGTAGCGTCGCGAGCCTCCTTAAAGGAGACCTAATTAAGAAAGGGAATTATCTTATCTATATTTACGGGAATCTATAGGTCTAAGATATCGTCGCTCGCTATACGCTACTCTAAAGATACTCGCTAAAAGGCGGTAGCTTTCTCTAGCTACGTCTTATATACTTAGCCGTTTACTTATAGGGGAGGTACTTAGCACGGCCCTAAGGATTTTAGCTAGTAGACCGCCTAAAAGATAGAGTCGCTATTAGTAAAGCTATCGATTAAGTTATACTAGTAAAGGCGTTTTACTTAGCGTACTATATTATAAAGCTCTTACTTAGCTAGCTAAACTTCTTAGTTAAAGCTAAGAGGGTATACCCTCCTTTACGCGCGATAATTAGCCGCTGCCTTTATAAACTCTTTATTTTATTACTACGCCCTATATATTATCTTATAAATAGGTCGGCTAGTAGCTATTACTATATAACTAAAAAGGTTTACTAGCGCTAATATAAAGTTATTTAGCTTAAAAGGAGTTAAGGTTATAGTTAAGATAAAAGCTATACTAGCTTTTACTAGCTTAATAAATCGCTTTAATTCTTTATTAAAGTTAAGGTAGATCTTATATAATAAAAAGGGTACTAGGGCTTAACTAAGTAGCGTAATACTAAGGGTAAAGTAGTTAGACCTAGTTACTAAATAATCCTTAATAATCGCGTCCGCTAAAGGTATATTAAAGAAGGCGAGATCGATCGTACTACCGCGCGCGTTAGTCGGGATATCGATAGCATTTAATAAGCTAAGTCGGTTATCTATAGCCTAGAACGCGATATCTTTACTACGGTGCTCTTATTAACTAGCCTACTAGCTAGGATACTTAGCGTTAAAGTTACTAGATATAAGGTATTAATCTATTACGTACTAGCTAAGTAGTATTTCTAAAGCTATATTATAGTCTAGCTACCGATAAAAGTTAACTACTATTATCTTATTTATAGTAAGCTAAAGGATATTATAAGTTACTATAGGTCTCTTTTAATTAGTAACGAGGCTTATAAAGCGCCGGACGTATATTATAACTCTTAGATAAGTATTATAGCTATCTTAGTTAGTAATAGGTAAGAATATATTATAGGCTAAATACGTCTTAGTAAGGTATCGGCCGTCTTTAAGTCCTATTTATAGTTCCTATAGTAAGATAATATTATATTACTTTAAATTAGCTAGCGCGAGCATAGTATTATACGCTAGAGGGATCTTACCTACGTTAGCTTAAAAAACTTATAAGGCCCTCTTATCGCTTCGATTATTAAGATAATAGTAATATATTAAGGCAGCGTTATAGGGCTAGTATATTATTTCTTTAATAGGATAATAAGGGTAAACTAGTTATTATCGCTAGTATATAGCGGCGTCGTAGCTATAATAATATAAAGGGGTAAGGAAGCAGCTCGCTCTAAAGTAGCACTTTTACTAGAGCTTCTATCTTCTTTAGCTACCTATAACTCTAAAGAATATAACTAACTTAAATTAGGGCTCTAATAAGACTACTTAAGCACGTTATAGTTTAGTATCTATCTTTTTTACTACGCAAAGAGCTAAGCTCCTACCTACCTTACTAGACCCTTCTCTTCTTTTATTAAGCGCCGTATAATACTATAAACGCGCTTAAGGTAAGTAAGGTATTTAGGGTTATTAGCGTAATATAGCCCGCGGTAGTTTACGTACTACTCGAGGGCTATATACTCTTAGCTATAATAGTTAGTCTTACTATAATATCTATAGCGCGCCGTCTAGTTATAGCTATAGTAAGCGTAGAAATCCTAGTATTAATCGTATTAGCTAAGGATACTAGGTTTATCGATATAATAAGCGAAACGGCTAGCGCTAAAAAGTCTCTAAGGTCTTTATATAGGTTCTAAGAAGGATATAATTAAGGTCTAGGTAGGTATATTACCTAAGTTATACCGTAATAGATATATACTAATAAGCTTTAGTTTAGTTTAATAGGTAATCTCTTCTTTAATAGCCTCCTTATAATTAATTATAATACCTCGTAAGTTTATAAGCTTATAAGGATAATCGGCTACTATATAAGAATACTATTTCTAGCTTATCTTAATAGCCGCGGCTTCTAGGTCTATAGCTTAATCCGCCTACTATTATATAAGTAAGTTACGTATAGCTATATCTAATACTTAGATAGCCTAGCCTATATTTACTAAGAAGGCTGCCGGAATATAATATAGGTTAATACCGACTCTAGCGGCGATATAGGTCCGGATTATATATCTTTTATAGTTTTAGACCGGAGTATTAGTATTAAGTTAGACGAAGATATAGAGGTCTTCCTTTAATAAGGCTATAGGCGGTCGTCCTAGTAAACGAGTAATAGTCTATAGTTTTCGCTATAATAGAGCGGAGGCTATAAAAGCTAGCTATCCTTACTTTAGCTTACTAGATATAAGAACGCTACTATATATAGGCTTTAGTAGTTCCTTAAGTTTAGTAAGCGATTAAGTCTAGAATTTAAGAAATTTAATAGCGATTTACTTAGCGATACTATTTTTAGTGCTAAACGTAAACTACTTTACTACTTATTCGAATAATTCGCTAAAGACCTATAAGACTACTAGCTTAGCGTTATAGGCTACCGTTTTATCGCGAGTAATCTTTATAGCCGCTTCGAGGATTAAGACTAGCGCGTGCTTAGTAAACTAAGCTAAGTTAAGGAGATTCAGGGCTTCTTCTAGCTATACTCCTTTTATAACGGTAACTTTAGGCGTTTTAGTAAAAGCTAGGCTAGCTACTAGGCCGCGGGAAACGAGTTATATCGGCGAGCTTCCGTCGGGTAGCGAGGTCGGATATACGATATATAAGCCGCTAAATTTAGCGGCGATCGTATACCTTGCCTCGAGGCATTAGAGTCGATATACGAACCTAAGGCTAGTGCTATAGTCGCTGCCGGCGCTTGCGCTCGGCTTAATTAGAGTTTTATTAAGAGTACTTATTAAGCGAAAGTATATAAGAATAGGCTACTTTCTTAATACTTACGTGCTAAGAAAGTAAAAATATAAGGAAGGATAATCTAGCAAGCTATAGGGAAGGAGGAGGTATAATATAGGGTATATAGTTAGACTAGGCCTGCTAGGAGGCGGTTTAAACGGTTGGTTGGCAGCCGTAGGCGGAAGGGGGGTTCTTGAGGGTCCCCCCTAGGAAAGTCGAATTATAGGTATACGGTGTTCACCCTTCGGGCTGGATATTCAGCCGTTAAACCCCTCGCATTAGCAACTTAACGGGTGTTCGAAGTATTTTATATAAATTCCTGCCACCATTTTCCTAATGTGAACAACACGTAGCCCTGGACTGTAAGGAAGCTTTCCTGATGTCGCCACCGCACGCAAATGCTAGCTTGTTCTTCACGTCGGCGGATTGAAGCATCTGGTTAAGCTTACCACTGTCAAGAACCTGGCCGTTTATAACGACATAACCGATATTTTTCCTATCCATGTTGCGGATATCCTTAGCCGGGTTCGCCGTCAGACAGACCATATCCGCCGTCTTTCCACGCTCAATCCCGAACTCGGAACCCGTATTCAAGGACTTGTACCCATTAGTTGTCGCCGTCTGGAGCGCCTGCCGCGGGTCAAAGCCAGCCTTGACCAGAAGCTGGAGTTCCTTATGGGTGGCACCATCCGGACAGAGGCCTTTACCGGCTGGCGTGTCAGTGCCACAGAGGACATTGGCTTTGGCTATTCTTAGGTCGTTGCAAAGTTTGAGGTTTTCTGGTGTTGGGCTTTGAATGAGCGTGCAAGACACAGATAGTCCTTTCTTCCCGATCTTGTCGACGACATCTTGATCGGTAAAGTTGATGGCACTCTTATGCTCGATAAAGTTCATGCCGTCGTCCAGGGCCTGTGATGCCGTCATACTGTCAGGGACGTGCCCCCCGACCTGGATATTGAAACGTCTGCAAACTTCAGATACCCGTTGAAAGACTGGCCGACTCAGAGCTAGGTGAACCTTTATTTTGTTGACGTCTTGTTGAACGAGGTTCCGTACCGCCGTTTCCGCCAGTGCAGGATCCTCCAATACTTGTATAGGGCCTGTTTTCTTGCCGTCTTTCAGGAATAGCGAATTCTTGCCGTCGAGCATCTCGCACGTTGTATGTATTCGTGGTAACGGGAGTCCATTTTTTTCTATGTCGTCCTTTGCCTGCTTGACAGCATTGCAATTGCTGCCGAGGTCTTGGACACTCGTCACGCCGTTGGATATCAGTGCCAAAAGCACCGACTTCATGGAATCCATACATTGCGCCGGATCGTCGCTAAAGCATAGGTGGGCGTGATTCTCGACGAGGCCCGGCATACAGAACATGTCCGTGGCAGGAAAGTCGTCCTCGGCGTTGCACGGAGCATTTGATGCATCCTCGATGCCCACGATTTTATTATCCTGGATGATAATATCCTGCGACTTTTGGTCTTGGCCACCTGCCAAGTTTATGATGTTGGCGCCGCAGAGCCTCTTGGCTTGTATCGAATGGGGCAATGCCAATAGGCATGCCAATAGGCATGCCGCTGGTAATGCCCTTTGCAAATGCATTGTTGCAGTCCGAGGATGCCTCGATTAAGCCAAAAATAAATAAAAGGCGCCAACTAAAGGGTTCGCAAATTCCCGACAATACATTAGTTTTACCGGTAGGCGACATGAGCGTGATATTTATATTTCATCTAGTCATCCTGGACAACTCTTACTGGTTTTAATTATGTCCTCATATTCCTACTTACTTAGTGTTCGAACCCCTCTGCCTCCTTTAAGTGTTTTATCCACGTTTGAAGTCTGAAACTACATTCAGCTGATGCTTGGTGCTGGACCCCAGTAGGCGTGTCATACAATGCCTCGAGCAACGGGCACATTCCGGCTATGCGCAGGAGGGAAAAGGACGCCTTCTGTAGTATTTTGAACTATATTCAGCCGATGCTGTCGCGAAAGCACGTCTGAGATCTTGAGCTCGGGGTGACCATAAGGGGTGCCATCCTTACCCCCCCTTTTGCTCACCCCCCCCTTTTGCTCCGCCAAATGAGACAAACCTCACCAAAAATCTGATTTTTGAACTGTTCATATTTCAGCAAACTATAGAGATAAAAATATAAAAGTTACATCATTTGAAAGAGAATTGAACGCACTGATTGGTTCTTGGTCTTTTATGACGCGACCCGGTCGCGTGGTGCGCTGGGGAGGCCCAGATACCTTGACCTCAATCCCCGGAGCTGTCTCCGTCTCCGACTCCACCTCCTCCTCTGACGAATCGCAATCCACCACAACGGCTTTCTTTGGACTCCCAATTTCGGGAACGATCTCACCGGCCGCCAAGCTTCGGCGAGACACATGAAGCGTCTATTTGGGTTAGGGATGCCTCTTCTCTTTCTTCCTCTCTTCAGCCTGTCCACTTCCTCCTCCAGGTCATATTTGCTGTTGGCTGCCGGGGAACTGGTTATCCAGGGCTGCCTTCATCTGCTGATCGTAACCTGAGATAACCGCTTCGGGGAGCGGAATATCATGCTTCTCATTCAACTGCCTGATCCCCTCCGCGAGGAATTGGAACCTGTCGATGAACTGTTATTCTGGTACTCATGAGGTAGGGGCAGCACAAGAAGGGATAAAGATGCATGATCTAGCTAGAAAGAAGCGGCCACAGGGCCCTATTTATGCCGTAGTCAGAGGGACCCTCAGGTGACTTACAAGTTACATAGGCACCAAACTGGCCCCATACCTGAGGTCTTTATGGGTCCCCGATACATGGCCTCATAATGATCCTTCAGGTGGCCCTCCCTTGATCCTTCAGGTGACCTACTAACAGCGGTGCCTATACTAGCCGTCAGAACCCTTCACGTTTCTCGTTGTCAATCAAACCGAATGCGGCATTATAGACAGACTTGAGGCAAGTCTGCCCCGTGACCTGGAAGAGCGGTAGTTTGAAGCGATTCGTATTGTACGTGTTGTCGAAGCTCATTGTTTCTGGAAAGCGTTTCCACATTCGAAGACAGTATGGGAATGTCCATATAAGGCCAACAAGGCGATCAGGCTCTGTCACCGATCACCTGACGATATATGGAATGCCCCTCTCGTCAAAGAGCTTGATCAAGGCGGCTGTCGGGCCCAAATCGCCAAGCTTCTCGCGGCGCAAGAGAGCCCTAGTGTTGGCAGGTCTCTTTGCATGCAAAGGGTGGGGTTAACCGGTGTGTTGTATTCGTCTATCTTCTGCTCTTCAAGGGAGGGAGGAGGCCACGATGCTAGCTATGTGGCCTCATCCGTACACGTGACAGCGCACGTGAGCTAGCTAGATGAGTACAATAGATTACTACAATTCCCACACTGGCAACTTTTCTTTTGCTATAAGAAGCATAGCAATGATCTATCTAGGTTAAAACGAGAAGAAAGACCTAGTTATATAGGTCATAATAACTATGCCGTTGTGGCTATTTAAAGTCCGGTTATGTGGACTACCCATAATAGGGATCCTAGGGAACGGACGAAAGAAAGACGGGCTAATTAACTATAATAACCATTTAATTATTAGCGTTATAAGTAATTAAGGGCGTTAGACGTATCCTTCTATTCGAATTATTAGACTATTAGTATCGATGAGGCGTTCTAGGGCTCGGTTCGGTGATGCCTTTGTTATAGCATTAGCTAGATTGTCTACACCGTTGATCCAACGAATCTCTGCGATCTCTCGTTGCTCGTACGACTAACGAAGGGCCATAATGTCGATTATTAATTACTTCTCCTTCGTTGTGCCTAGTTTAATAAGATATTCGTAGAGAGAGTACGAGTCCGTATAGACGATTAGAGGGATAGAAGGAAGTCCGAGACGGTTAGTAATTATCTTTAAAGTCGTTAATACCGATATACTAATATCGAATCTATTAACCATTCCGTAGATTTCTAAGGCTAAAACGCTTTAAGTTATCCTTTTATATTTAATTAAACTCTAGTAGATAATATTGCTATTAATCCTAAACTCTTTCTCTTTATAGTTAGTCTCGTTAGCAAGGATAATAACGTAACCGAGTTATAAGGATAGGTCCTTATTATTTATAAACGATCCGTCTATAAAGATTAAAAGCTTTATAGTAGCGAGATTAATAGGTTTATATATAAGGCCTCGTTCTTAGTAATATATTTGCTATTACAAGCGCTTATTTAAAGCTTTGCAGTCGTTGTTATTAGGGGTCTAGACTTATGCTGCGATAGAAACGTTAAAGGAGGCTTCGGGTTAATAGATTAAGGCAATATACGATCCGCGCGCTCGTTGCTCGACGTAGCGTTAGCTATAATTAAATGCTCTAGGGTTAATAGTAGCGATTTTAGAGGCTTGTCCTTTCTGCTAAAGCGATAGGGATCCTATATCTAGTAGGCTAAGTTTTGCACTATTAAAGTTAACTGTTATTCCTAGGGTTATCGAAGTCTTTAGTTTAGCTCGAAATTATACTTCCTTAAGCTTTTCTTCTTTATAGGCGGAAAAGCTATCTATTCTAAGCATAAGGGTATTATCTATCTATATTCTAACAATGCCTAACGTATTAGGGCCGGTGTTTATAATTAAAAGGCAGGAATTATAGGTTAAAGTAGATATATTAAGGTTCTTAAGGTAATATTATTAATATATACGATACTAATAGACTCTAGCTTCTGCAATTCCGTATAGGGGCTTAATAACACGAATAATCGTTCTATAGAGGTATTTATCTTGCAATTCGGTAGGCAAATAGGTTAGAATTATCCGGAATAGCTCGGTTTAGGATTATAGGTATGCTTAAGTGATATCGCGAAGGGAAAGGGTTATGCCGTTGCCTTAAAGAAGTCCGGGGGCAATAGCTAAAATAAGTCTTTAACTAACGCGTTAAATTATCGTGGATTGCGTTAGTAGGGTGGTCTTCTTAAAGTCGCTATGTCCTTAAACAATAAGTCGTGATTTCTTATACGGTTTAGTGTCTTTGCCTTAAACTTTACGAACTATTCGGGAGCGAAAGATATAATAATTACCGTAAATCATTCGATCGTATCTTTTAAAGCTAAATACACCTCGTCCTACGAGGTCAGTGATCTCGATGTTATCGGATTCTTTAAATAGGGCGCCGGGAGCAGTAATAATGCCTTTATTCCTAAGTTTAATAGATAAAGCGTATATATCTTCTTCCTTCTAAGTTAGGAAACTTTAGCCTAGAGGAGCGGTCATCATGATCAAATCCTTTGGCTTGTTCTTAGATCCGGGTGGGCGTCCTCTCTTGCGGGGTGCCGGGGGGTCAGGTCGGGCAGGGGCAGTGTGGCTAACAAACTTTGTTAGCCGCTAACAAAGCAGGGTGGTCATCAATTCAATTCCATCAATTTCGCAGTCACATTGGGTTGCGTTGACAGCTTACTTATCATTTTGCCCGTGGAGTTGACCCACCTCACCCGCGGATTGAATTGATGGCGTTGAGTTGAAGAGGTTGAGCCATCCGCACTCATCAAGGCCCCCAGAGCCTAATCCTCCGGGCATAAGGGTTCCTCCTCGTCCTCCCGTATTATGCTACTTCCAACCTCTCCTGACACATCAATTGTTGTCCGCACCTGCGGATTGGGAAGGATGAATGAGCAATCTATTAATGCTTGTCTGTCTAGCTATAGATGTGATAATAATCCGAGTCTATATAGACTCAGGTGACGGAGTCGCTATATCCATAGAACCTTCTAGATCCTACTAGAGTCCTCTAACACCCCCCCGTAGCCAGACATAGCGAGATAAAAACAAGATCGAATGCCTAAAGTTAGAATATAGGATTAGGCGTTTGCAAGATAGGTAAGTCTAAGTTATCGAATAAACGCAACGTAACGGTCCTAGGTAAGTAGCTTTATTAGTCCGTTAGCTGTTATGTCTTATATTAAGATATATTAGATATTAAAGTCTCCTTGAGTTACTCGGTTAATAATCTATTTATAACGGACGTCGATATAGCGGGTTTATACCGATTTTATTAGGTTAAGTACCGTAGGCTAGGCGTTGCGCGAGTCTATAAATATAATTATCGGTTTTATAGGTTAAATCCTAAGATTTTAAATAATACGGTTTATCTATAGTAAAGCTTGCCTAGTTAGTATAAGATTTATAAACTTAGCTTCCGTTATAGATAGCGCTACGATTATCTACCTACTAGATTTCTATAAGATTAGATAACCTATAAGAAGAACGATATAGCTAGTAGTCGAGTAGCGTATTAGTATTCGGTCGGCGAACGCCGCGTCCGCGAAGGCGAGAAGTAGTAGATTAGTAATAGAGTATTTTCTACCTAAGTATAGAGATAAGTTCTTAGTACTAATAAGATACTATTAAGGAGAGTAGGTATAAGAGGCTATAGTTATGCTTAATAGACCTAATAGTTATATATAAGGAAGCCTGCCTAACTAATATAACTCCCCTAGCCTAAGGATATTATATAGGCCTAACTTAGGTATAGGAACATCCTAATACCCTCTTTTAGCTAGCTATATATAGTTACTATACCTATATAAGCCCCTCCCTTATCCTAATAGATAGACTAAGATATATATTACTAAATTTACCTTTCTATGCCCCTATTTCTTTTACTATGCTCTTAAGCCCCTACTTAAGAGTTATAAGCCCGGCCTATACGGCTAGATTATCTTTGCCCGCCGATATTACCTTTAAAGCTATTTACGAGCTATTAACGCTATTATAACGCTTAAATCGTAGTATTAAGGCAAGGAACCTAGCTATACTAAGGGGCACTACTAGAAACATATAAATTATATAAATTATAATTACGTATCCCTTAAAGAAGGATATTACTTATTAAGCTAGAACCCCTTATTTTCCTAAGATAACGTTAAAGGAAGTAAGAGGGGATAATTATATCGTAAGACTAAAGGAAAGCCTCGATTAGACCTTATAGATTAGGGGGATTAAATCGTAGGCCTAGACTTATAAGATTTAGGAATATACTAACCTAGACGGTATAAAGGAGCTTAAATAACCCTAATAGCCGGACTAGGAGCAATTTATTATTAACCTTAGAGGGAGACCTTCCTAACGAGAAGATAAAACCGAGGCTATGTTCCTAGCGAGGCGAATAGGCTATAACGAACAATACTAGGATATAAAGGACTCCTTTCGTAACCTTAAGAAAAGGTTCTAGCTATAATTCGATCGCTATAAGGTCTAGTAGAAAGCCCTAATTATACTTAAAGAATTAATTAAGAAAACGATTAGTAAAGGGCTTTAGGGGATAACCCTAATATATAATAGCCTAAGAGAGAAAATTAGGGAATTAAAGAAGTAAGCCCTACCTTTAGGGGTAGAGGAGAAAAAGCTAATTTACGAGAGATATACGACCTCTATTAATAAAAAAGGCACGCGAGACTAGAAAGCATAGGTAGAATAGCTCGACTAAATTATTATAGATTTACGAGACCTTAAGGTCGATATACTTAACGATATAAGAATTAGATAGGATTTTCTTATAGCGGCAGATAAGTAGGACCTATATTAGTCTATATTAATAAGGGCTCTCGACCTCTATAACGAAAGATACGGTAAAGATTAACTTCCCTTAAGGAACTTAATCGCTAACTTTAAATAAGAATATATTTATAGGAAGAAGTCGTAACTACCTATAAAAAGAGGAAGCGCTAATTAAATCTCTAGGAAATTAGATACCTAAGCTAAATACGCTAGCTATAAGTAGCACGTTAATAGCTTAATAAGCTAGTAGGAAAATTGCTACTTACTATAGGTAATATATAATAAGAAGCCCTTATTAGGCTAGAAATATAGTAATCTAGCTAAATAGAATATCGAAAAACGGCTAAAGGACTATCTAAACGAGAAAGTAAAATATATAGCCTAGACCCCTAATTCCTACCCTAAAGGAAGAGAACTAATAGATACTATTATTAGTAATAATAGGCTAGGAAAGACTATTAATATAGTTACTCTATCTAGGGTAAATATAGCTATTAAGGGAACGCCGTTAC